GATTTCATTTGAAAGCCCAATACATCCTTTTCTGTATCCTTCTCATTACTTGCTATATTTCTATCCACATTCAAATACATTTCAAATTTACCTAGAGTATCTTGTTCTTGTTGGTTCAGTTTGAAAAGTCTTATAAAATTTGGCCAATAGGATTTTAAAATTAGTCTGGTTCATTCAAATCTGCACTTATATTGTGCAAGGCAAATTGTGCCTTAGGATAAATCTACTGCAAATGTTGCTATACAGCTGTCCTTTCTTCTGAAGTCAGCCTGAATAAAGTTTTTTTTTTTTTTACCAGTGTAGCATCCTTTTTTTTGAACGGCTTCCCAGTAATCTTGCTGAGATCAATGTTGGCATTTTTCCTCTGAAAGCCCCTGACATCTGTTTGTCATTTACATTCCTTTCAGTATCTATTTTTTGTCATCACTCCTCTTGCTGCGTTGTGCCAAAAATGGTATTTTTGGCTGAGGTTCCATAAATATGCTGATGTTACCCAGTTTTTACCTCACTAGTCTTAAATCAGATGAATGATGCTGTCAAAGTCCTGCATAGATGCTTGGAGACTTTGAGATTTTGAGTGGGAGAGAGAACAAGCTTAAAATTGAGTCCTGGTAAAAGGAATCACTATTTTTACATCTGGTTTCTTTGTTTATTCCAGGGTTCTCTCTTGATGGAGTGGCACTTTTTATCATGATAACATCAACATGATGACATATCATGACACAATTGCACAGATTATGCATACAACAAGATGTTTGACACAGATATTTAACTTCCTTCATTACTGTAATGTAATGTCATTACATATGTGGGGCTTTTTGCCCTCTTCTTCCTTCTTTTGAGGATTCCCAGACTTATAATGAAACCTTAACCTTGTGCATTAATACTTTCTATTTAATTTAATAGAGCTTGTTCCCTGGTAAGTGAATAAAAGTTGGCAGGCTTAATCAGGTTACTGTAATTAATTAGTAAAGTATTTTTTAATGAGGAAGAACACAGTTTCATTAGTTGAGTTGCATGCTTGTCTGATGAATGTATTAAACAGCACCTAAACACTTCTTCTGTTTTCTTTCTGTTCTGTCCAATTTCCTCTTCTCAATTCATTGCCATCCAGTTTTGTGCTCTGCTTTCTCTTGGCTTTTGTTTCCCTTCCCAGTTCAGGGATCTCTTCCCCATCTCATCACTTTTCTTCCTTCTTCTGTTGGAAAGAGAGGCAGTGTATGTGCATTCTTATCTGTACTTGTGTGTTCTCCATGAACAAGGGAACTGTTTATAGATAGGGGATCAATGTCATAAACGGGATGTCTTGTTTTATCAATAACGACATTTAATAATGATACTGTACATTTTATGTTAAATTTTATTTCTTTTTGGCCCAGTTCTTCCTTTTGGGAAGGTGGAGGAATGTGGCTCCTGGCAGGTATGCTGCCAGATTTTATACCTGGCCTCACAATAAATTACAATACGCCTTATTCAGCACTAGGCTGATCTTGGCAGAACATTTGCAGACATATCTAGACAGGAATCTTTATTGTAGATAGGAATGAAGCCTTGGGATGATATGGCCCACTGCGGTGCAAAGAAATTGTTTATGTGTATATATGTATGTATAGACATACAGAACTGGCCATTTTCTTGATGGGATTGAGAGGCAGATCTTTACATAATGTTTTTTTTCTAGACCGGGCTGTGTGTGTCTTCTTGCTTTACCAGTTTCAGCTGTAATCATATATACACATGTATATACACATATATACACATATATACACATGCACAGAAGTCCAACTCATACGTACATTCATTAGAGTGAGGAAAAAGAGAACTTCAGGGGCTTGGCATCTCTATATAGGGTTTTCTTGCATTCTATATTTATTTTATCAAAAGGGGGATTGTATCAGTTGCAGAGTTATCCTCCATTCTCAGAAATATGCCATTTCTACAAACTAACTCACTGAAGTTTTTTATGGGCCTAAGTACTTTGATCTGGCTGTAAACTGCCTAAATTTAGATTTAATATAACAAAGTTCACTTATCCACTGGGAAGAATGTGAGACGCACAAAAATAGTTCCCAATGGATCTGTTTGCTAGAAGAATATGCCATGAAAGTAGTTTGGCTTTCGGCTGATGTGACCAGCTTTTGACATAGGTCATTTTAAAAGTAGCCAAGATAGAGTCATGTAAGATCCAGCCAAGAAATCAGTAACTCATAATCCATTTTTTTTCCACTAATGTTTTAAGTTCTGGAATTTTAGTCTTAAATTACTTTCACCAAACTAAATTCTCAGAAGACATATGGAAAGTAGCAATGAATCTAAATATAGACCATGAGAATTTGGTTTAGAAAAATCCCAGATCACATGGAAATGCTAATTTTGATTAAGGTAATAAAGGTTGCCATCATTAACATCTTTAACCATAGGAAAAATGTTTAAACTTGATAATTCAACTGTCATTATGGGCAAGAGATGACTAAATTTTGACTTCCCAATTGGTTTGTTTTTTATAATAAGGGGTTTGAATGCAATGTATTTCTAGGTGTTCTAGATATATTCTGGTTTTTTTCCTCTTTTGTCTAGCTCCAATCTTCATATATCCCAGATAAGATAGGGATCAGATTTGCTATCAATAGATTTATTGGATTCATAAAACATATTTATTTTAAAAAGAAATGCCTGTGAGCAGTGCTATGAGCAGTACTCATTATTGTCAGATTGATTCACAGCATTTGCTGAATTACAATCATAGCTTTTACATAATCAGATGTAATCACTTTGAAATGTAAACACTGAAGAGGGGTGACTTTGGTAAAATAGTGTTGCATCTTTTAGCACAATATCAAAGCATTACAGAATATAACACATTTTAAAAAGAAAAAAATATGGCTCTAAAACTCTTTCTAAGAAGTTTTGTGTTGGTCATTTTGTGCCTTTCTCTGTTTGTAGGTGGAAAATGTGCACTTTATTGACGGAATATCTTCCAAAAGAACTGCATTAGGGACTCTGTATCTAACAGCCACTCATGTCATCTTTGTAGAGAATGAACCAGACAATCGTAAGGAGACCTGGGTATGACAAGTTACCATTATATCTTGATAAATCCAATGACCTGCGCAGGCTGTGACGTACATTTAGAACCATAAAATGTTCTACAAACACAAAGGCAATTAGGTCTATTAAAACACTTTGTGAATATTTGGGGACTGTTCACTTCTATCTGTATCTGTAGTCATAAAAATTCCTAGCCCTCAAGGACCCTCTGGATCCTTGACTCACAGAGTAGAGAGGCCATTTACAGCACCGAGTCCAACTCCTCCATCAGTGCCAGCATCCAAACACTAGCAGCTCATGGAATTCAGAGGTCCAATTTCTGCTTGAACATGTTTTGAGTAAGCAAAAGAGTTTAAATCATTGAAAGAGCAAGTAGAAAGAACTTCAATAATTCTTAAGTCCACCAAACACAGTAACCAACAGTTCTTAACCTCCGGAATTACTGATGCTATCTGTCTTGAACATTGTCCAGAGTGCAATTAGAATTCAAAAATATCTGGAGGGCAAAATATTTTTTTTGTTTCTATAATAACGGGTCATGAACTATCATAATCAGAAGAATAGTCCCTTCATCCAGAAAGAACAGACTTCCTATCCAACGCATCTCATTGAATAGAAAACCTGCCTGCTCTTGAAATTCTAAAAAGCAACCTCATTGCCTTCAAGGGAAGGGCCAGATCAAAATATTTTTCTTCCAGAGATTACAAAACAAATGGCATTCTCTCAATATCCTCACAAAGATGCATAGCAAGTTCTACTCAGGCAGAAAATAAGGTGAAGAAGATAAGCTGGAGATTGGAGCTGTGAGGTGAATTCCAGTAATTTCACTGGGCCTGGGGCAGCATTCTCCAACTAATGTCCATCATTTAGAGCGGTGGTCGCCAACCAGTGGGCCTGGGACCACTGGTGGTCCGCAAGAAAATTTTGGTGGTCCGCAGAGAAATGTCACCCCAAAGCAATTAATCTAGGCTGTGTGGGAACATAAGGCTGCTCCCCCCACATGGCTGCGGGAACACAAGGCTTATATCACTTGCATTGCGAACAACACGAGGTTGTGAGGAGATGGGGGAAAGGGTGGAGCTGGAGATGGTATCCTGCGATCCCAAATAAAGAATGGTCGATCGGTAGGAAAACAGTATGGGGAATTTTCCTGCAGATTTTTTGGGAGATTTTCCCAGGGTCCGTAGTCTGCGGGATATAAAATTATGAGTTTGATGGTCCCTGAGGTCCAAAAGGTTGGCAACCCCTGATTTAGAGTACCATTCCCAAAACGGTTACCAATAAGAACAGAATATTGGAACTCTTGGTTATGGAAAGGACAAAACTCTTTTTTTCCTTCCCACTGATTATCCCCACCTTTTGAATGCTCCTCACATTTAGATTCCCTGCATATGTCAGTTTTGAAATAATTGCTCTAATGTCTTCCTTGTAGCATTCTACCATGTTGAAAGCTCTGTTTTCATCCTGGAATTTCTAAGTTGGTAGTTTCAAGTGACCACAATTAGCATTTCAAAACCCTTTAAAGGAGGTGTGGGCTTCAAATTTTTTAGCAAAGGGTTCTCTGCCCGGTTGCTGGGTGGGCATGGCCTAGTCGGCCTCCTGCACCATGGTGGGAGTGGGGCTTGCCCTCCGCAGGCTCCCAGGGAGGCGAAAATGGCCTCCCTGGACTCCGGAGGTTACTTGGAGGCCAGAAATAGACCCATTTCCAGCTTCCTGAATGGGCCACGTGGAGCCTCCTAGGAGGGATGGGGCGGGGTGGGCAGGGCCAGCCCAGGAGTGGGATTTGAGGGTTCTCCGAACTGCACATAATCTTAGCTTGGAGCTCTCCCGAACCCCTGCAAACCTCCAGCAGCCCACCCCTGCTTTAAAGCAGAGGTCTCCAACCTTGGAAACTTTAAGACTTGTGGATTTCAACCCCCAGAATACCTCAGCCAGGAAAGCTTCTGGGAGTTGAAGTCCACAAGTCTTAAAGTTGCCAAGGTTGGAGACCCCTGCTTTAAAGAACCTGAAACCAAAGTTCTGGATTTATAATCTTTTCTGTTTGAAAGTCTGCTTGACTTTTGAACAGAGGTAAAATTCACAACCTCTAATAATACTTGAATTTCAGGGTGCCAGGCATAAAAGTGAAACACATTCTGTGATTGTTCTCATTAAAAAAAGATATTGAAAGTAAATGATATCTAAAAAATACATTCAAACAATGTCATAAAATGAAACACCAAAACTTAGACATTTTTGTTAACTTACTTTTCCCCCTTAGCCTGTCATACCTTGCAAAGTTATTTTTGTGGGGGAAATTCCACAATATATTGTCTCAAGTGTTAAGGGAACATGAGCTATAAAATACATCAAAGGCTTTTTATTTTGTCATGTTTGTGTAGTGTATATGAGAGGTGGAGACCCTTTGAGAGCTGTATGCAACAAAATTTCAACTTAATGTATGCAGATCAGTGTACATTCAATGTGACAATAAAGTTATTCTAAGTTCTAATTTTGGGATCTCACTTAACAAGTTAATGATCGCTTCCTCACTCAACGAGAGATGGGTTTGTATGCATTCTTTCCAGCAAATGTAGCTAAGTGATCTCCTACTCTACTAAGTGATCCTGTGCTCCCCTTACTGATTCAAGATTCAGTTTCTCTTGTTCTCTGTGATCTTGTATAATGCTGAAACTTTGTTCACCATGCTACAGTGAGAATTATGTTGTTTAGGGCACATCATACAGTTTTGATTGTGTTAATTTATAAAATGGAATATTTTTAGCTTCTCTTTAGATTGACTTCTTATTTTTCTTTATCAGATCCTTCACAGCCAGATCTCCTCAATTGAGAAACTTGCTACATCAGCTTCTGGTTGCCCAATGCTGATTCGTTGTAAGAACTTCCAGAACATTCAGTTCATCATGTCTCAGGAAAGAGACTGCCATGATGTTTACATTTCTCTGATACGTCTGGCGCGCCCAGGTATAGATTGGAAGTTTAGGAGGTATCCAAGCATCTGTGCTGGCAGTTGGCCTGAGTAAAATTATTTCCTTGTAGGCGTGGGTGACTCCTCTGTTTTGTTTATAAATCTCACTCTTAGGAGGCTGAGTTGTTTGGATTCTATTTCAACAAAAGGTTCTACTGATCTGAATGTACAGTCATGAAAAGGCAATTCATAAATCTGTTTTCTGCATTTGATATGGTTGGTTGTTGTATTCAATTGTATTTTGTTTAACTACTCATGCTCATGTTCTTCTTATTCCTTTGCTAATTCTCTGGCTGTTTTCTTGGTCTTTTCCTTAAAGACTGTTCTTTTCTGCTCTGGTACCAAACAATTGGGACTCTCCATTTATTTTTTAGCTAATTCCATCCAGATTTATCATTCTTTTATGTTTAGAATTTTATTTTTTCCTCTGTTATTTTTAGTATTAATCTCTGACATGGGACAAGAGTGTTTTATGCAAATGTCCTTTCATTGTAGAAACTATGTCTCCAATATAATTCCCTGGGGTGATTTTACATGGATGATGTATTTGTTGGCATGGCCCCCCTAAGTTCCCAAGCCTTCCTAATTCATTAGATTCATTTATTTATAAACATGATTGGGAAGATAGTTTGTTCTGAAGCAAAGTGCCAAACTTAAGTATAATTTATATTTCTAACTATCTTTTGGGCCTATGGAGTCCACAGAAGCATTCTGTAAAAATAAACTATGACTGACACAAACCAATGTTTCTTTGCCTTCAACTATATGCTTTGCCAATAGCTGTAATCAATATGACAGCCATTTCTGTGCCATCATTTGCCCCTTCATTGCCTCCTAGTATTTCTAATTGTCTAAAGGCTCAAACCATGTTATGTCAGAATGTGAAAAATAATTTCAACTACATTAAAGTGGCTGTTTCCAGTATTGATTACACTAGATAATGTAAGCATGAATCAAATCCCATCTAATATAGCAAAATTAATAAAACACAGAGAGGAAAATAATGTTTCTGGTTTGTTCATCTGCTTTGTCTTCCTGGTAAAAATTAAATTACCAAATAACCTCAAGGAGAATTCTGTATTGGCTGTCTCCTAACTGTTATCTTAAAAGTGTCCAGACAAAGAAAATGCACTGACCTGACGTCCACTCTGTAATTGTTGTTTGCCATTTCTGCAATGATAACTTTCTAAGAAAGTTGGCTTTATCCCCTGGATTGCTGGAACAATTAAGTAAATAAATCAAGCAAATAAATGTTGGTGTTTACCATTTTGCATTAATAATAATAGCAGTAATTCTAGTGAAGAAACAGCAGCTGTCTCATTTTCTTGTTTTCAGTGAAATACGAAGAACTGTATTGTTTTTCTTTCAATCCGAAATTAAACAAAGAAGAACGAGAGCAAGGCTGGAATCTGACAAACTTAATGAAAGAATACAATCGTATGGGAATTCCAAATAATTACTGGCAGATCAGTGATGTCAATAGAGATTATCGTGTGAGTTGCTGCTCATGAAAACAAATGGTCTGAGGTCTAAATATTGTGATTCAAAATACTAGTGTGTGAAATACTTCTGTTTCCATCACCTTCCAAATAACTCAGTGGCCCAATTCATTATGAAATACTTGAACCAGTAAATATTGACTTAAGATATGTGCCTTTGTAGTCTTCTGTATAAAATTTACTTTGTTGATTTATAAAATTGGTGTTTTCCTGCCATCCTGAGAAATTGAGATTTTAAACACAATTAGCTTCTGAGGTTAACTTCAGAAATTGGGTTGCATTCATAAAAACAATATCCTGGCACATAAATTATAGATAATTGACAACTGTTAAATCAACTTATGGAAAGGGAATGTAAAGGAAGAAAGACACTTGTAGTACCTTATGTATTCTTGGATTGATAAAGTAGAGTTCTCAACTTGGTATCTTCCAGAAGTATCAGAATCAGAAAAGAGTGGAAGGGACCTTAGAGGTCTTCTAGTCCAGTCCCCTACTCAAACAGGAAACCCTATATCATTTCAGACAAGTGACTGTCCATTGTCTTCTTAAAAACTTCCAGTGATGAAGCACCCACAACTTCTGAAGGCAACTTCTGTTCCACTGGTTGATTGTCCTCACTGTTAGGAAGTTTCTCCAAGTTAATTCCAAGTTGTTTCTCTCCTTGATTAGGTTCCATCCATTGTTTCTTGTTCTGTCCTCTGGTGCTTTGGAAAATAAATCGACCCACTCCTCTTTGTGGCAACCTCTTAAATACTATAATACTGCTATCCTGTCCCCTTACTCCTTCTTTTATCTAGACTAGCCAAACCCAAATCCTGCAACCATTCTTCATATGTTTTAGTGTCCAGGCCTTTAATCATCTTAGTTGATGAAGTGCTCTTTGCTTTTTTCCCCTAAGTCTCAGTATCTTTTTGTAATGTGGTGACTAAAACTGGATGCAGTATTCCAGGTGTGGCCTTAATAAGGATTTATAAAGCGGCATTAATATTGATACTGAAGAGCACTGCCCTAAAACAGAACCTTGTAGTACCCCACTGCTTACTTCCCTCTATGTAGATGTAATAATGTTAAGGACTACTTATTGAGTACAGTTTGTCAGCCAGTTACAAATCCATCTGGTGGTGATACTTTCTATCCCACATTTTTCTATTTACCAAGAAGTAGGTTGTAATCTACTTTGTCAAATTCCTTGCTGAAGTCTACATATACTATGTCCACAGCATTTCTCTGGTCTACTAATTTAATTGTAAATACATTTTTAAATTTAATTTAAAAAAGATGTGAGACAATGGATCTGAGATAATATCTACCAGCTGCTTCAGAACTCTGGGATGTAATCCATCAGGTCCAGGTGATTTATATTCATTGATGTTAGACAGGTGTTCTCAGACCATTTTCTTATTTTAATTTTTATTTCTAATCTTTCTTTTACAGTTATGTTTTTGAACTTTTTGTGTGAAGATGGATGCAAAGAATGAGTTAAGAAGCTCTGCTTTCTCTCTATACCCTGTTACTTCCTTGCCATCTTCTCTCTTTAGTGGACCAACTGTTTCCTTGACTTTTTTCTTGTTATTTACATATTGAAAGAAACTTTTTAAAAATTATCTTTGACTTTTGTTGCACGTCTTTGTTCATTCTGAGCCTTTGCTTTCCTGACTTCATCTTTGCAGATTCGGGCTATCTGATGATATTCTGCCTTAGTTATGTGTCCCTCTTTCCATTTTTTGTGCTCATCCTTTTTTGTCTTTCAGTTTATCAGAGAGATCTTTGTGCAACTATGCTAGTCTCTTCTTGGATTTCTTGTATCTTTTTTTTCAGTAGCATTGTGTTGGACTGGTTGGATTATATTCTATTGCTTGTGTTTGCATTATATTGAATTACAGTATGACATGGTCACTCTTGGCCAAGGTTCCAGCAACTTCAACTCCCTGTATCACTTCTTCTCTATTAGTAAGAATAAGGTCCAGTATAGTTTTTCCTTTAGTTCCCTCCTCTACCTTTTGGATGACAAAGTTGTCAGCTAAGTTGGTTAGGAATCTGTTCAATCTCCCACTTGCTACAGTGTTTGTCTCCCAGCTGATATCAAGATGGTTAAAGTATCCCATTACTGCTCTGGCTAATTTCTTACATACATTTGTTAATTGGTTAGCAAAGAGTTCATCTATTTCTTTTGCTTGGTTGGATGGCCTATAGTATATGCCTATAGCAATGTCATTGTTTTTCCTTTTATGTTGACCCATATGGATTCTAGGAGGTTTTCATCCTTGGTTTTGTGTATTTCTGTAGAGATTTTTATATATATAATGCAGCTCCATCTCCTCTTTTTTAGGTCTGTTTCTTTTGAATAGTTTGTATCCTATCAGTACATTCCAGTTGTGAGTTTCAAGTCACCAAGTTTCAGTAATGGCAACTATATCATATCTACCTTCATGTACTAATACATCAAGTTCACTATGTTTGTTCCCTAAACTTTGAGCATAGTGTATAGGCATTTGAATCCTTTATGGATCTTGAGTATGTTTCTTATATTTACTACTTGGTAACTGGGATTTCCATCCTTTCCATCACTCTCTCCTTCATTATGTTTTTCTTTTTTTATTTATTCTTTCTCTTTACTCCCTTCCTCCTTATGTAATTGGTTATCTAGTAGTTTTATCTTGTGTTGGACTATAGATTCCAGAAACTACATCCAACATCTGAACTGTTTTTGAGGAATTGATGATTGATATCATGTTTCATGATACCATGTTTCATCTTTAAACACAATATTGCTGAGAGGTGTTGCAGAGGAAAAAAACCTGTAATTTGGTCATTCTTGCAAAAAATCTTGTTCTAAAATAACCTTTTGCAGTTTTTCTGTTGGTGAACTCCAGATAGACAAGGTCTAAACTTGTCAGAATTTCCCAATAGGCCTTCAGTTATAAAAGGTGTGTCATACTATTTAGACTATTTGAATATTGATTACGGTAATATATAGGAGTACCAGAAAGTATGTGCTTTTTAACATTTTCTCCAAATCATCATTCATTCATTTTGCTTACTGCAAGTGTATAAAATAACTATTTGTGAAGCAGTTTGGAATAATTCATTGAGGAGTGTTTGAAAAAATAAATATATATAACAGTATTTCCCAACTTTGTCAGCTACCAGAATTGTCCACCCTGTATGACTGGTTGGAGAATTCTGGGAACTGAAGTCCATACATCTTAAAATTGGCACTGTTGAGAAACATTGCTATACAGTATAGACTACTTGAACAAACCAGTAAAAAATCTTCAGTTTTGCTTTCTTCTATTTTGGGACAGGTGTGTGATTCATATCCTACCGACATCTACGTACCCAAATCAGCCACTGCTCATATCATTGTGGGAAGCTCTAAATTTCGTAGCAGGAGGCGTTTTCCGGCACTTTCCTATTACTATAAGCAGAATAATGTAAGCATGAGATTAAAGCATTAAATAATTTATTTAATATATTCTGATTTTGAGTATTGAAATAATTTTGAATTTGTGTCAACAAGATTACAAAAAATATCTCCCAGTCGAAGGATGGGACATACCATATCTGGCTTGACTTCTTTTTAAAGATGGAGGTTACTATAGTTCTGTTATAAATAAGAAAAATTCATAAATTTGTTGGCCAAATTATCAGAGATTTTACATTTATTAATTGATCAGATTTTAATTGCATTAATCTTATTTTAATCTTTACTATGTAATTCAGGAAACACATTTGATGGGCATTGTATCATCTGGAAAATTCAAAATGCAGCTTGTGACAAATAAGTCATAAAAGTCAGTTTGCTGTGAGAACACAAAAGAAACTAAACCACAACCAAAGTGTTATAACCAAGCTTGAGTATACTAAATATTTTCACAATAAAGCATATGTTCTTCTCTCTCTCTCTTGTTATCTCCTAGGCTTCCATATGTCGGAGTAGCCAACCACTAGCAGGCTTCAGCGCTCGATGCCTGGAGGATGAACAAATGCTACAGTTGATCCGAAAGGCAAACCCTGGAAGTGATTTTATCTATGTTGTTGATACACGTCCCAAAGTAAGAGGCTTCAAATTCTGTTGTCTTTTTTTATGCCAAATATTGGCTGAAATGACCCAGAAGTTCTAGAATTGTCAGTCGGTTCAAATACCAGTTCAGCAAACCAGATGCAAATTTAACATCCGGTTCACCTGAACCGGTCAGAACTGGTAGAATTCCACCCCTGCATAGTCCTCTCCCTAATGCCAAACTCAATTACTCTATCATGTCTTTTTTTTTTTTTAAACAAGTTTTATTTTCAAGACAAACAATACATAAATACACATAAACACAAAACATAAAAGCATAAAAAATCTCTTTTCTGAAAGTTGCTTAGTCCCGGGTTAAAACTCTTGGTACAGACACAAGTTCAGTTTCATATTCATTTTACATACCATTTCATATCTTATTAACATTTTCAATTTTCTATATAACTTCTCCTCTCCTTTAAATTTTCTCAATTTTTTTTCCTCCTCTCAATTCATATCCTAATATTTATTATTCTTTGTCTGTTCTATTCCAGCCAATCATTTATTTTTCTTCTTTAAAAAAAAAGAAGAAATACTTCTCCTGTACACTATATGGAGATGATGCCTTTATCTTTTTCCCTTATATTTATAGTACCTAATATAAAATACATAACATACATTGGGATTCTGTCTGGTACATTCTAAAATTATACTATATTATCAAAAATAATACAAATCTATTCATTAGTATTGATATTCATTCATATCTTAGACGTTTAACTCATTACTTTTCAATTAAATCACATACTTTTATGAGAGCCCTATTTTCCATAATTATCCCCCCCCCCACATCACATATTATAGCTCAATATTTCATTGAAATGTTCCTCCTTCTTCTACTTCAAATCTCATTTCACAATTTTTTTTGCTAGTATACCATGTTCTAATCATTAATTTTAACAATCATTTATATCTTAAACATTTTATCCATTTCAATTGAATATTATGCCTTTGTGGGAACACTTATGCTTTCCACAATTATTACCCCCCACATCACAATCTTGAATCATATTTCATTACAGTACTCTCTTTTTCTTAACAAAAATTTCACTTATTTATGTTAGATATTTTATCACATTTTAAGCTACATATTATTTCTAATTTTCTATAATTACTTCTAAATACAGATATAAAAATGCAATCTTATGTACCTTTCTAGAATCCCATTAACAATAAGATATATCCATTATCTCTGAAAAACTTTTGATTCTTAATATCCTGCTCCCCACCATTAGAGCTTCTCATCCCTTCCTTTCTCCCTTGCTTCTTCTTCTCCTTGTCCTCTTTAACCCCTTGTCTCTCCACCTCCCTTTTATTCTGCTTTCCCCCTTTCTGTTGTTTCTTAACATAATGTCCCTTTTTCACCTTATTCTTCTCTTTTTGGGCTGTTTTTTCAGATCTTAAAGACCTCTTTTCCTTTTTCTCTTACTTTTTCCCGTCTCCAATCAAAGTCCTTTTTTCATCAAAGATGGCTTCTTCTTCTTCTTTGTCCCCATCATCCTCATTCTGCTTCGCATAAATATAAACCGCCATTTCTAAGTATTGAAAAATAGTGCCAAGTCCATCTTCCCCTCCTTGTTTTTCTCTTTCATATTTTTGATATATAAGTTCCAATCCATCCACAGGTGATGCCATTGTGTAGAGAAAAAGTTTTTCCAAACAACCACCCAGATGATTTAATCAGAAATAATTTCCAAAGGTTCCAAAATCACCAAACAATCCAAACAGACTGTTTCTTTTAAATACCTTCTTCTTCTTCACTTTTTCTTTCTGAGGTTAAAGTAATCACAAATCCTTTTCAAATATATTTTTTGGAAGTTTTTAAACTCTTTGCAATTCTAGGCAATCTTCTCCTTATTTTCAAATTTTGCTCTGATTTTTTTTTTACTCTCCCTTCCCACTCACAGCCAAAAAGATTTTTTTTTCCCCCGCTGTCACTTTAGGAAGGAGAGTAGAACAAAGAAAAAAAAAACTTTCCCCTTTAGGGTATTCGCAGCTTGTGGCTCTCACAAGGAACAATATATCCTTAACAGCTTTCAAGGTTCCAAATCACTTTCTCCCGTCTTGTCCCGGTTAAAAGCACCTTTCACTTTCTCCAGCTTTCTCCCTCCTGCACTTGCTTACCCGGCTGCAGCTTTCTTCGTGGCGGCCATTACTGACCGCCGTTTTTCCGCCTCGGGAAAAGGGAGTTTAGCCGGCTGGGGAGGGGGTTTGCGGCACCCCCAAACCCCTTGCCGGATCCCTCCTGTCTTCAGCTGCCTCTACGGGGCAGCTATATCCCCCAGATCCAAATGGATCGGGGGAACCTTGGCGGCGAACGCTGCAGGGATCGCGCGGTTGCAAATCCCTGCCGCCGCCGAAGGCTAGCAAACCGGAAGTTCCAATTACTCTATCATGTCTAACAGATGGCCACCCTGTATCTACCTAAATGCCTCCGAAAAAGGAGAGTCTGCTTCTCCTCAAGGCTACCTCCTCCATTGTGAAATAACTTTTATTATTAGGATATTTTCTTTTTGCAGTCATAAAGTAATAATAAATATAATTTTTATTTGCATTTTGTGACAAGTAGTAGAGGGTTCTCCATCTTTACAAGACTAGAGCATATGTCCAAAGACCTACTTGTAATATGGTCAACATTCCCTACTGGGCAGATAACTTTTGTGCAAACACAGCGTGGCTTCTCAAGGAAATTTTCCAGAGCGTGTAACAGAATTTGCTAGATTCTAGGAAATGCATATTCAATCCAGCAGACCTGTACTACAGGCCATATAACAACTTCTTGACCTTTGCCTTTTTGTTGAGTGCAACAACATCCAAAAGGGTTTTTATGCTTCAACATATATTTGATTATATTGTCGGCAGGTAAGGTGAGAGAGACAGTCTGGTGTATTGATTAAGACCATAGGCTAGAAACTGGGAGACCTTGAGCCCAAGTCCTGGCTTAGACACAAAGCTGAGTGACTTTGGGCCGGTCACTTTCTCTCAACTGGCGGAAGCAGACAATCTTCTGCTTGTAAAACCACTTCTGAAAACTGTAGGGACTTGAAGGCACACACACACATGTATATGCACACAGGTAGTTCTGCGTCCAGAGCATACTAGCATTTCCTATTCTCCCTCCTTTAAAAAGCACTCATTGTTAACCCAAAGGCAAGTCAGTTCAGGTCAACAATAACTTGCCATCTGAAAACAGATCGGATCAGTTCTGTGTTCTGTGGCTCTGAAGAGAGGTTGCCATCTTCTGGATGAATTGTACAATTGAAATCACTGTTGAATGTAAAAACTCCAAAGTAGTCAAAGGCAAAGGTGACAGCAGATCTTATTTTTATTTCATAGCTTTTTAAAAAATAAAGAATTCAGCCCATATTTTCACTAATAAAACTCAGAATCCAATATTGTGGAGGGCTCTTTCCTCCTTTCTTTTGGCAAATTGTAATGTTTGCAGTGGCTCAGTGGCTAAGACGCTGAGCTTGTCGATCAGAAGGGTCAGAAGGGTCGGCAGTTCAGTTGTTCAAATCCCTAGCACCACGTAACAGGAGTGAGCTCCCATTACTTGTCCTAGCTTCTGCCAACCTAGCAGTTCAAAAGCATGTAAAAATGCAAGTAGAAAAATAAGGACCACTTTGGTGGGAAGGTAACAGTGTTCTATGCGCCTTCGGCATTTAGACATGCTGGCCACATGACCACGAAGACATCTTCAGACAGCGATGGCTCTTCGGCTTTGTAACGGAAATGAGCACTGCTCCCTAGAGCCAGAAATGACTAGCATGTATGTGTGAGGAGAACCTTTACTTTTAATGTTTTTATTTCTTCTTCATTATAAAGGAAAGAACATTTTGTCAAGAGGTCTGAAGGGTATTCTTTTTTCCTTGATCTTTGCAGCTCAATGCAATGGCAAACCGAGCAGTTGGGAAAGGGTATGAAAATGAAGACAATTATTCCAACATCAAGTTTCAATTCATAGGTATTGAGAATATCCATGTTATGCGAAGCAGTCTCCAAAAAATGCTTGAAGGTAACATCTTTGTAGATGCTGGGGACAGCTTGAGATTCTTTTCTTAAGGATCTGAGCTGGATGTATATTAGGACCAAAATTGAAATGAGGGGATTTGCTTCATTAATACTGCAAAGAGCATTGCAGTTTTAGCTCTTAAGCCCATTAAAATGAAACAAATTTTCTAAAGTGAAGTAGTTGCCGTAAATTCACCCTCTGCTTCAGTGGCTATTACAACTTTGCCTGTAGATATTTTTCAGCCTTGCTATCTGATATTGTTCAGTTGGAGAGTTTAGCAACTTTATAGGAGATCTCTTCAATAGACGATTCATCTTATGAATCCTTTCTCTTGTGACATGAAAGAAACTTCTATATAATTTCAGATTGGCTCTCTGTATGTTTTGAAAATGTTTCAGGAGAAATTCTTCTCATGAGTTTGAAAAATTAGTAGCTGTTTTAAAGATCTGATTCATTGAACCAAATGTGGCGATCTGACTTATTAAAGCAGATGTGGCTTTAATGCAACTTTCTAATGTTTTCATATATGCTTGGAATCCTGAAAAAAGACATAATGCATTTAAGCAATTCTGGGCTTGCATCTGGAAGCATTTCTTCCATAATTTCAAAAGTATGTGTACCTTAATGCTGAATATTTACATGCTGGTATTCTTTTTTCCTTATTAGAACAGCATGTTCTAATAATTACTATGATGGTCAGTTTCTGCTAATCTACTATATATGCATTACTCTTTTCTTTTACTCTTCTTGTCCTACTTTGGAAAAAGAAATTAAAGTTATATGGTATGTAGCTTAGCTTACAGAAGGTTTGGTTTATTTCCTCCACATCTGACGTATTGTTTACTATGCTTGTTGTCTGATCAGCCCACATTCTTGTTTCTGCCTATCCTTTCTGTACAATTAATGGTGAAAGGCAGATCTAGAATGGCAATGTGTCAAATCAAATGCATTTTTCCAATTTATTTAATTACCAGGGTTAAAAGCACAGGGACAATGACCAACTATAACAAAGACAATGCAATAGCCATATAAAACCTAAAAATGAAGACTTAAAACCAAATAAAAATTGACTAAAGAGACAGTAAAACAATATAAAACAAAAATAAAATAGAAATTGTATAAGATAAAAAAGCAATTGAATATAAGAGGAAAAAAAGACATTGTAATATTACCATTTCAAATCTAGGACATCTTATGCCTCTTTATGGAAATTTCTGCAAATAAGAATTGCAAGGCCAATGGCTTTTAATGGAGACATTGCTTAGTAACAGAATTCCTCACTAAATTAGTTAGTTCACTTTTGAACTCCAGGTCAGCTATTGCTATCAGACCTGGCTGATTTAGATCTGACGTTTAGGACTGCAGTTTAGGACTTTGTGGTCTTTGCTCAGTCAAGTGGAAAACAAATATTAACTCTATCAGGAACAAACCTCTATTTTGACTCTATTTAGGCTTTGCAAACAGGAGGTAAGCAATCCCAGAGTAAATCCGGCTGCTAATGGCTTGTGTTCCCATCTGCGTAGATGCATTAATCATTTGACAGACTTCTTGCTGTCAGCAGTACACTATCATAAGGGTAGTTCTCTGAGATGCTATTTTGAACATACCTTTTGTGATCAACTGCCAAGAATCACTCTTTTCACTGAATGATGAGATTGGTCTTCCCAGGTGTTAGAGCTCCAACACTACTAATTTCTAACCCACAGGGGATAAGTACAGCATATATGTAGGACATCAGGTTCGGTGTATCTGGATTGGCTCAATCTGAGGTTACCAGATCTGGATATAGAGGTTGCGTTTTGGAACCCTTCTGCAGCCTATAGGAAAGCGATCTGCCACAACTTCAGATGTGTATGTAGGCAATTTCTCACCAATTTGAATGGATCAGCATTCTGCTTGACGTGAAAGAGCTTAATGGCTATATTCCTCCTATATGCCAAGAATTTTTTTTTTATTCATGTCAGCAGCTGGGGAATGGCCAAGCTTACACAATTGTACAGCTCCTTTTTGTCTTCCATTTTTAAGATGAAATGCCAGTTTAAGAGACTGTGATTTTTGAAGAAGGAAGTAGCAGAGAGGGGAAGTTTAATTGAACCTTTTCTTCCAACATTGGTCTTTTAGTTGCATTCTTAAAAAAGATATGAGTGAACTGAAGCCCTGCAGAAGATAAACTTAGTCTTGCTATTTTGAGGACAAACACACCTACTGGATTAAAATATGAAGATACCTTGGATACAGCAGTTCTTAATTCAGTATCTGTCAACATAGCCTTTTCATTTTGGGGACTTTAGAATAGAATAGAATTCTCATTCGTCGAGTCAAGAATCATAAGGTACAACACTTAATAATAGTCATAGGGTACAATAAGCAATCAAATCATACTAGGAAACAATCAATATAAATTGTAAGGATACAAGCGACAAAGTTACAGTCATACAGCCACAAGTGAGAGGGGATGGGTGATCAGGAGTGATGAGAAGATTAATAGTAATAGTAGTGCAGACTTTGTAAATAGTTGGACAGTGCTGAGGGAATTATTTGTTTAGCAGAGTGATGGTGTTCAGGAAAAAAAACTTATTATGCATATTTTCCCCAGAATTTAAAAGCATATGGCTTGCAGCAGTGCAAGAAGTCAAACTGGTATATAATGGCTGATCATGTTTGCAAATCAGTCGTACAACGAACAAGTGACCAACATGGATGTGAAAATCAATCCCTCCCTTTTATACTAGACTTACCATGTAAAATTAGCAACTTAAAAATTCTAGCCTGCTGAAATGGGCTTATTTTGCAGTCTGCGAGCTGACATCTCCTTCAATGAGTGATTTCCTCTGGGGGCTAGAGAATTCAGGCTGGTTGAAGCACATCAAAGCCATTATGGATGCGGGCATCTTTATTGCAAAGGTACAATATATGATTTGTAAATGAAAATGGGGATGTGCCATTTCAGGTAATGGAAAATCTTTTATTTTCTTCCACTTGCAAGGATGTGTTATGGAATAAAATTAATATGGTCCATATCTGTGCCTCTGTCCTAGAAAATAACACAGTGCTGGACGTGATGCTAGATACTACACAGAGAAGTGTTGCCCAAATTGTGGCATAAGCTCGTGAACCTATTTTTGTCTAGCATAACTGGTGATGCCAATTTCCTGATATTTGCCATTCTTTCTTAAATGTCACATGTATGCTTGGATAAGTATGTATTGCACTGTCAGAATGAAATGCTACAACTGGACATGAAGCACATTCATAATTAGTATTACAAAAGAAAACTCAAGGCAAACTCAGTGCAAAGAAATAGTAGAGAATATCAGTGGAATAAAAGGCAAATTATAGTGACCCATTGGTGGCTTCTCCAAGGACAGAGATGATGAAAGGAAAATATTTTATGGTATATTTCCACCCAGCAAAATACGGTTATTCACTATGTACAAAAGCCTTTCACAGTGTATTACATTGGCTGCAACATTGTGAATAGAGCTTCCTACTGACTCAGACCATTGATCCATCCAGTTGAGTATTGTTCACATTTGACAATGGCTACCCAAGGTTTCTAGCAGAGATATTTACAACTTTACCTTGAGATGCTAAGAGTTGACATTCCACATACTTAAGATTGTGCCTTCTCTATTAATAATTTTTCCTTCTATAGGAATCAAAGCTACATTCCTCCTTTCTTTCTGTTTTAGGCTGTTGCTGAAGAGGGAGTCAGTGTTCTTGTTCACTGTTCAGATGGATGGGACCGGACTGCCCAGGTCTGCTCTGTAGCAAGCCTTCTATTAGATCCATATTACAGAACTATAAAAGGATTTATGGTAAGTCAGAGGCTTGAGACTCTTAATTGCGTTAGGGCACTGGTCGGAACCCTGACAACAGTTTTAATTAGCATGAAAAGGGATAAGTTGTGAATTCATTTTAATAGAATTAAAATGAAATAAGTTTTTTTTTAATAACATCAAACTAGTGAATTTCCAGAAGATTTATCTTTCACATTTTGGGAGATGATGCACCACATTTTTGGAAGTCCATATTTGAGGTCCATCTTCAACTGTAGATTCAGTTCAGCAATCATGACTTATTGTGTAGTAGTTAGCAGTTGTGCCTCTCGTTGTCACTACATAAAAGCACTTCTGGCACTCTTGCTTAAGCTCTGGTGAAAGGCAAGGAAGTGGAACCAGTTCACTGTCTTGGAATACACAAATTCATGGTGAACAGATCAAAAGCAAGAGCAGTTTTGTGGACTACAAGAAAAAAGATCTGGTCCAAGAATGGATGCAGGTTTAGCTTCAATAGATGGGATACATATTTTCAAAAATGAGAAACTGACACTTGTGCACTTGGCATAACTTATTATCACCCCAAGTAATTGGATGGACTATCATTCCCCCCTCAATTTCTATCATGTTTTAGTGTAGTAAATGCATCTTAAATACTAATCATTATTTCCTCCACCACCTCCCATTATCTTGTTTATGAAGAGATCTTGGAGTTTTAAAACATTCTGCATTCTTTTGTAAATCTTGAATGGGAAACTTGGATGCTAGCCTTTGTATGAAATAGATAGGAAGGAACTGCATTGAAGAGACAGGCTAGTTAGTTGCTGTTCCATTTGCAAGCTCTGAAGCTTGCAAATTTTAATTTAATCTTCAATTTAATTTTAACTTTGAGTTTTTTATGTAAGGCCAAAGTGGATGCAAAGGACTAGGATGTATTTAGAATATTAGAATTATAGAGCTAGAGGGGACTTTGTAGGTCTTCCAGTCCATCCCCACTGCCCAAAGCAGAAGTCTTTATACGATCCTTGACAAATGGATGCCCAATATTTTCTTGAAAACCTCCAGCAATGAAGCACCCACAACTTCGAGAGGCAAGCTGTCATGTTACCCCAAACCCTTTTTCCATTAGGCTAGACATACCTAGTTCCCTTAATCACACAATACAGCCTCTTATCGTCTTTGTTACTGACGTCTACACACTTTCTAGGATCTTAGCATCTTTTTTGTATCATGATTACCAGAATTGGAGTATTCCAAGTGTGGTCTCACTTGTGCAAGGTAGAACATTATTATCACTTCTCATTATTTTAATGCTAACTCTCTGTTGATGCAGCCTAGGACTGCATTGGCTTTTTTGGCAGCTGCAGCACACTGCTGACTCATACTTAAGTGGTGCTTCACTAAGACACGTAGATCTCTCTCACAGTTACTGCCTGTTCTATACCTGTGCATTTGGTTTTTCTTGCCTAAGTTCAGGACCTTATTTTTCTCACCAATGAACTATATCTTATAAAATAGAATAGAATTCTTTATTGGCCAAGTGTGATTGGACACACAAGGAATTTGTCTTGTTGCAAATGTTCTCAGTGTACATAAAAGAAAAGATACATTCGTCAAGAGTCAACAATCATAAGGTACAACACTTAACAATAGTCATAAGATACAGTAAGCAATCAAACCATACTGGGAAACAGTCAATATAAATCTTAAGGATACAAATGACAAAGTTACAGTCATACAGTCACAAGTGGGAGGGGATAGGTGATAACGAGTGATGAGAAGATTAGTAGTAATAGTAGTGCAGACTTTGTAAATAGTTAGACAGTGTTGAGGGAATTATTTGTTTAGCAGAGTGATGGTGTTTGAGAAAAAACTGTCCTTGTGTCTAGTTGTTCTGATGTGCAGTGCTCTATAGTCTCGTTTTGAGGGTAGCAGTTGAAACAGTTTATGTCCGGATGTGTAAATATTTTCACAGCCCTCTTTTTGACTTGTGCAGTATACAGGTCCTTGATTAAAGACAGGTTGGTAGTGATTGTTTTTTTCTGCAGTCCTAATTATCATCTGAAGTCTGTGTCTGCCCTGTTGGGTTGCAGAACCAAACCAGACAGTTATACAGGTGCAGATGATAGACTCAATAATTCCTCTGTAGAACTGGATCAGCAGCTCCTTGGGCAGTTTGAGCTTTCTGAGTTGGCACAGAAAGAATATTCTTTGTTGTTCTTTTTTGATGATATTTTTGATGTTAGGTGTCCATTTTAGGTCTTGTGATATGATAGAACCTAGAAATTTGAAAGTCTCTACTGTTGATATGGTGTTGTCCAGTATTGTAAGAGGTGGTAGAATGGGAGGGTTTTTTCTAAAGTCTACCACCATTTCTACCGTTTTGAGTGTGTTCAGTTCCAGATTGTTCCGGTTACACCACGAGGCAAGTTGTACAACCTCCTGTCTATGTGCAGATTCATCGTTGTCTCGAATGAGACCAATCACTGTTGTATCATCTGCAAATTTCAGTACTTTATTGTTTGAGATGCAGTCTTTGGTATATAGAGAGAAGTGAAGAAAGCACACATCCTTGGGAGCTCCTGTGCTAATTGTACAGGTATCAGATGTGATTCTGTCTAGCTTCACCTGCTGCTACCTGTCTGTTAAGAAGCTTATGATCCATTTACAAGTGTGTTCAGGTACCACTAGCTGGTTTAGTTTAGTTAGAAGAATGTCTGGAACGATGGTATTGAATGATGAATTGAAATCTACAAAGAGGACCCTTGCGTAGGGTTCAAGGTGTTGTAGGATGTAGTGCAGAGCCATATTAACAGCATCATCTGTTGATCTATTTGCTCGGTATGCAAACTGCATGGGATCTAACAGTGGATCCGTGATGGTTTTGAGGTGGGACAGCACTAGCCTTTCAGAGGTTTTCATAACTACAGATGTTAGAGCAACTGGTCTGTAGTCATTCAGTTCCCTGATGGAGGGATTTTTTGGCACTGGGATGATAGTAGAGAGTTTAAAGCAAGAAGGAACATAACACATCTCTAGTGATTTACTGAAGATTCAGGTGAAGATGGGGGCCAATTGGTCAGCACAGACTTTTAAAAATGAGTTATTTTGTCTGGCCTTGGTGCTTTTCCTGGCTTTTGTGAAATTCTTTTTCTGTGATCTTTTTCTGTGATCACCAGAGTTGTGAACCCAATGGGTTGGGGTCGGTTGTAGGAGGCTCGACTGTTGTTGGTGTTTGAAATGGGGGTTGTGGAAATAGGTGGCTGTAGTTTCCTTTCAAACCTGCAGTAAAACACATTCAGGTGATCTGCTAGTTGTTGATTTCCTTCTGTCTGGGAAGGAGGTTTGCTGTAGCCAGTGATGTTTTTAAGAGTTTTCCACATGTTTGCTGGTTCATTTGTTGAGAACTGATTCCTTATTGGATAGGGCTCATAGCTCTAGTCTGACAAAATCCTTCTGAACCTTGAGTCTATCTTTCAGAGTATTAGCAATCCCCCCCCACCCTCAGCTAGGTGTGATCTGCAAACTGGATGAGCTGCACTTCTATCCCCTCATTTAGATAATTTATGAAGATGTTGAGCACTGTACTGAAGACAGAATATTGAGGAATTCCACTGCATGCATCTCCACTGCATGTATCAAGATGTAGATCTATTGAGGCTGAACGCTGAGTGTAGTTGGTCAGTCAATTGCAAATCCATCTGGTGGTCTGTCTCATATTGCTTTATATTATCAAAAAGCAGACTATGGGCTACTTTATTGAATACCTTCCTGAAATCCCAGTATACTATATCCACAGCTTTTTCCTGGTCCACTAATTTAATCACTTTATCAATGAAGGTTTTTAACAAATCCATGCTGACTTTTATTAATCATCTTGTTCATTTCTAGGTGCTCACAAATCCACTGTGTAATTATCTTTTCTAGGATTTACGAGGTATTGATGTCAGGCTGATTGGTCTGTAGTTTCCTGGTTCCCCCCACCCTTTTTTTCCATTTTTTGAATGTTGGACTCAGATCAGCTCTTTTCAAGTGCTCTGGCACTTCCCCCATGTTCCAGCAGCTCTGAAAAATTTGTTTAGTGGTTCTGAGATCACATATGCCAGTTCCTTCAGAGCCTTGGGATGTAAACCATCTGGTCCTGTCAATCTGAACTCATCCAAAGGAGATGAATATTATTTTGCTAATTTTCCTGCCTATTTTGATGTGTTTCCTATTTTGTCCTCTAACCCATAATTCTTTTTCAAATAAAAATGGGAAGCATCTTTTCTCTTTTTCTAATATAAAACATAAATTATCACTTTTCTCTGAAAACCTAGTTTGGGAATACAGGTATACATTTCCCTCACATTTTCCCATGCTGATGGCATAAACAACTGACTTCTCTAAAGGGCTATAATGACTCAAATCCATCAAATTTAGATTCTCTGTCGTTGTTCATGTGTTCAGTGTTCATGTATTCTGGGAGATAACTTTAAGAAATATGTTATAAATTGATTTATAGCCAATTAATGTTAACCTTGTAGCATTAAGCATAGAGTAAAAACCATATAACATTGTAATTTGAATATCAACATGTTAAGAATTATTCTATAAAAGGATAGCAAATTTCCAGCATAACAAAATTGTATTTTGCCATCTAAGTAGGGTGCCAATCAGTTTCTAAAATTCATAACAGTATGATCACTGTCCCTGATAAAACTCTTACCCTTTTTTCTGGGGTCTAGGACAGCTCAGTGTGGCCAACTCATCATGGTCAGCTCGAGTTGGTCATGTGGAGTTGTCCTGTAGCACCTTGGAGGTGGCGAGTTGGCTGTGGTGAGCTGGCTGTGGCAAGCTTGCCACAGTGAGTTGCCCCATTCTGTTTTTTCTGATTGTGAAATACCAGGATTTTTAATAATCCAATTAATTAGAATAAGAAACATAATTTTCTGCTTCTTGATAAAACCTCTACAATCTCCTTTGATGCTACTTTTTTTATTTCAGGTATTAATTGATAAAGATTGGGTTTCGTTTGGTCATAAATTTAATCACAGGTAAGCATGATTGTATAGTGTGGGCTCTGTGAAGTGGCAACCAGGTACTTTGCTGCCAGAGAACATCAGATAAACATCTAATATTCAATATAATATAGAACATTTCTGATGGCATCATGTTCTTGTTGTGGTCACTTGAGTCATTTTTGACTCTTTGTAAATACATTGACAGGCCTATGCAGTTTTCTTAGTGACATTTTGGAAGTGATTGGCCAGTACCACCTATCTCAGACTGAGAGATAATGATTGACCCAGAGTTACCAAAATTTTTTGATATTGGGTGTAAGAGAGGATTAGATCTTGGGTCTCCCCACTCTTATCCATGTGCTTTAATCATTAGACTAACTATCTAATCATGAGTATAGTGAAATGAATTTTTTTTTTTCATTTTTAAGCATGTCCAAATTTGATTGAGTATAACTGGAACTTTTCTTAATCACCTTTCCTTTGATTATTTAACTTTTGAAAAGTATTTCTAGGCTTATTGGCTGGGTTTATACACTGCGCTAAATCAAGATTTTAATTACTGTTTGTCAGTGGTGCAATTCAACCGATGTAACAACTGGTTCAGGGAATGCACTCACCCAGAATTTAGAAAAGACCATTTTAGCTATAATACTTACCTTCCGCTGCAGCCCCGGTGAGTAAAACAGCTGATGCACGGCAAACCAGTCTGCCACGCAAATCAGCTGTGCTCAAAAACAAGGAAATAAAGCAAAGGAAAAGGGCAAGGGCTGGTGGGTGGGATCTAATGATCACCGGAACTACTGGTTCAACCAAACTGGTCCAAACTGGTAAAATCCTATCCCTGCTGTTTGTTTAAAAAAACCGTATCAGCCTGGTTCACACATAACTCTTAAGCATAAACTGGTTTATAAAGTACAGTGGCCAGGTTCATACATTAGCCTATGTGAAAACCACACAAATCATATTATGCCACTTGTGGTGATACATGAGCCCAATCTTCTTTATTACTGGACTAATCAATACATGAGTAAAATCCATTATGCTATTCAGGTTTTAGCTGGCTATGGGGACTTCTGGCGGAAAGGGGGCAGGCAAAGAAAGGAAATGACATATGGCATCACATAAGGGCCAATATTTTGTACTTTCATCACTCATTGGGCACAGGAATGCAGTTGTAATAGTTGCATAATGATATCATATAGCGTATGTCATTTTGACATATTTGTGGTTACAATCCAACCGACATGGATACGTGTGCTCTGGCAAATTTTATTCAGCAAATAGTAGAACTGACAATTAGGATGGAAGATGTTGTGCCAACACCCAGAATTTCAGAAAGTTAACAGTTGTGAATATTTTCCCCTGGCATTGATGTAGGTATGGCAATTTAGATGGAGACCCAAAGGAGATTTCACCAGTTATCGATCAATTTATTGAGTGTGTTTGGCAACTTATGGAACAGTTTCCTTGTGCCTTTGAATTCAACGAAAGATTCTTGATCCACATACAGCATCATATATATTCCTGCCAGTTTGGAAACTTCTTGTGTAACAATCAGAAGGAAAGACAGGAGCTCAAGTAAGATACTTTTTAAAATGTCTGCACAGTATACCAGAATGATTCTTTATTCTGATAAACATGACACTTCAATGTGGAATCTTAACCAAGACATTAGAGAAAATTGTTTAATCCTTTCAAACTGATTATACATTAAAACCCCAATATAATAATAAAATAAAATCAGTAAAAGTTTGAAAATATTACTAAATAATAAAAGATCCATCTCCTTGAATACTTATTGCAACCAAAAGAATTATCCAAAAACTGCTTTACTTGAAAGGAAGATGTCTGAAACATAATCTATCTCCTGAATTCTCATGAACATAAGATGATATTTTCATTTTAAAAGTAAATTGGAAGATCGGAGAAGACCCTTCCTTTTAGGTAAATATAAAACATAACTGTAGAGAGCCTGAGAAAATGGTTTCAGTTGGATAGCTATGATTGTCTGATAATAGGCTCAGAGTTTTTCTGTGAGGGTTTCTAATTTTTTCATCTTAGTTGTCTTTTAAATTAATTAAATGAAATCTCAATTGCTATTGTCAGAAAGTTATCATCAAAAAATATAGAATGTTATAATGATAAAAGCCAAGAAAATTGGAATTAAATAAAGCCTGATTAGTTCCTTAGCTAGTCTGCTGACCATGGCTCCCCTGCTATTGCCCAGAATAACCCAACACTACCACCTATTGATTTACACAGAACAGTAGACTGTGGTTCTTTGGCTATTTAATTCATAGGATCAGTTACAGAATGAGATTAATGTTAGCACCTACCCAGATCAGAGCACAAGCACTCTGACCAGCATCATATCTTATGGCAGTAAATCCCATTCCTTATTTTTCTTGTGTCACACAACAAAATGCTTCTTTTTATTAATTTTGAATCTCTTCATAATTATTCTTGGTGGATGATTGCAAATATTATAAGATAGGTTAAAACAAAACAGAAAATTACTCAGGCCACATATGTGCATAGGATGTCATAGTTTCTATGCAGTATTAGGAAATTAAATTCTGTAGGTTGAGATTTTCCCTAACCATTGGCCATATCCACTGGGGTTGTGGTTCTGAAATATCTGGAGAGCTTAGCCTTTAAATTTTTTTTATTACAAAGGGCACCTAATTCCAAATAGTTGAATTCTACCCTTTTTAAATGTGTATCTACTCTTTTGGCATGCTCATGGAATCTTTCAATATCGGGATGAGAGAAATAGCAAATGCAGTTTATAGAATTTTATTATAAATTGTCCCTCAGAATTCAGGAACGGACTTATTCACTTTGGGCTCACTTATGGAAGAATCATGCCGATTATCTGAACCCTCTGTATCGGGAAGACAACAACAGGACCCTTCATCCACAATCAGCTCCCTCCCATTTTATCTACAAGTAAGTGGCATCTGAAGTAAGTGGCATCTGAATGAGCTAACAATTGTCCCTGACTTCAAGAATGTGCAAATTTATTGCAAATAGCTGTGAGATTGATGGTAAACTGTCACCAACCTTCCCCAATTCCTTCTTCTTTGCTGTGAAAGTGTAACACATTGCTGTGTAGAATAAAATATAATTATATTAATATATAAGATAGATACTTTTAATTAGGACCAGATGTTGTAAAAATTGTTTCATTTGTTCACTTTCAGTCATTTGCTGTGGAATTTTGTAAACAACCTTTTGAAGATAATCCATCATCCTTGAAAAGTGATTTATAAATTTGAAATAATGCCCAGATAAAAGCTTTAGATGTTCAAGCTTGGTGTGTATATGTGTGTGTGTGTGTGTGTGTGTGTGTGTGTATGTATGTATGTATGTATGTATGTACCCTGTTTCTCCAACAATACGGCCTCCCCCAATAGGAAGTCCCAGCATGTTTTATAGGCATGAAATGAAATTAAGCCCCTCCCCCCAAATTAAGGCCTATATTAAAACATGCGAAATGGGGGGAATGGTGGGGGGGCTTGCCGTTAGGAAGTACTTTTGTTGCATACCCGGATATGGTGCTGCCTGCGTTGACCCCGATACGAAGTGCCCCACCAACGCTGAGGTCAACATCCAAGCCGTCGCCGCCCGCCCGAAGATGCCAGGGGGGGAATTAAGTCACCCCCGAAAAGACGGCCTAGCCATTTTTTGGGGGCTCAAAAAAAAATAAGACCCGGCCTTATTATATGAGAAACACGGTATGTATGTATGTATGTATGTATGTATGTATGTATGTATGTATGTATGTATGGTATTCAGCTTTGTTCGGGTATTTTCCCATGTCATTATAGTTGTGCTTTTAAAGTTGTAGTGACGTTTCGGCAGAATCTCATCTGCCATCATCAGGCTTCTGTATACAATACAATACAGAAGCCTGATGATGGCAGATGAGATTCTACCGAAACATCACTACAACTTTAAAAGCACAACTATAATGATGTGGGAAAATACCCGAACAAAGCTGAATACTATAAATATAGATACCCACGAAAACTTAACATACACACACACACACACACACACACACATATGTTTTCTTAAGTTTTCGCGGGTACTTACATGTCTGGTATTCAGCTTTGTTCGAACACAATACAGAAGCCTGATGATGGCAGATGAGATTCTGCCGAAACGTTGCTACAACTTTAAAAGCACAACTATAATGACGTGGGAAAATACCCGAACAAAGCTGAATACCAGACATACACATACACACACACACACAGTATATATAGGTCTGTTTTCTCTCTTAGTTCAAAATTAGTGATATATATTATCATTGATGTGGAAGCTGGGATTCTGCTAAATAAAAAAAAATGAGGTTAAAAACATGCGTGCAAAATATTGTGATTTTTATTTCTTTGTAACTTATGGAAAGAAATCTGCTTTTTAAAATTAACATCAAGCCATCCATTTTTTTCAAGAATGAAACTGGAGAACTATAGGTTTGGCATTATCATTAGACCTTACAGTGTTACAGAGCCTCTTAAAATAGTTTCTCACGTTTTTTCCCCGGACAGCTCTGCTCTTTATCCAAGTATGACTTCTAGTTAACCCTGCCACAGATCTACTTATACTGATGTAATCTATGAATAATCAGAGGAATTAGGTAACATGATAGCTCAGCCTCACTTAGGTTGTCTATAACATGTCTGTTGTAATATAGCTTCTTCTCCAAGGCTTGCTAGACTTTCAAAAGACTTTTTAAAATAGAATTTTATGAAAAAAAATTAAAAGAAAGATTAAAGCTAGTATAAACGTAGTATAAAGTAAGAAAAAGAAAAGGAAAAAAGTCAAAGAGAAAGTTAAAAGTTCAAGAAAGGAAAAAAATACTCAAAAAAAAAAAAAAGAGATACAAAATTCACATTTCCAACATAAATGTGAAGTATACATACCCACTCCAGACATTTTCTCTGATGATTTATACCAGAGGTGTCAAACTCGATTTCATTGCGGGCTGCATCAGGGTTGTGTTTGACCTTGGGGGGCCGGGATGGGCGTGGCCAGGGTGGGCATGGCCAGCTCAGTGTCACTCGTGTTGGGGGCGCCTGTGGCAGTCTGAGCACTCTGCCAGCGAAAACTGTCTCCGAAGCTCTGTTTCGGCTGCAATGGCCTCCTGCAACCCTCTACCAGCTAAAACGGAGCTTGGGACGGCCACACGCAGCCCTCCCTAGTTCTGTTTTCTCTGGTACAGGCACTGCGGGCCGGTCCTTTGCTGTTTCCAGGGTAGACCTGCGGGCCAGATCTAAGCACCCTGTGGGCCAGATCTGGCCCCCAGACCTTGAGTTTGACACCCCAGATATACACTGATAGTAGAGTACATTATCTTATATAAAATCCTTTTTAAGATTATGATCATTGTAAATTTCAATCCTTTGAGGCACATGTTTTCCTGTTGTTCCATCTGTATATTATAACCAATTTTTAGCCGCCTCATCATACATTCATTCACTTGTTCTTCTGTTTCAAATTGTCCTATAAGTATTTAAAGAACCAAAAAAAGCAGAAGTGGGAATAGTGGCATCACTGTTTTATTCCTTCTTTAAATATCTCACAAAGTTTTGTTTAGATTTCCATTAACAATTATTTGTGCTTTCTGTGACGTATAAATGTTCCCGATATTATAAAAATTTCTAAAATCCATATCTTCCAAAACCTTGAATCAGAAAGCCCACTTCAAATTGTCTGTTTCTTAGGAAATCAATGTGGCTTGTTTTTATTGTGTTGTTGAAAATGTTCTGAAATGTCCAACACATTTCTAACATTTTCTTTTGACTCTTTTAGGTAAAACCTACATTGATATGAATAAATTCTTGCAAATTTATTTTCGTATGTTTGCTATAGTGTAAGCATTATCTGAAATTCATCAGCTGAAGACTGATGACTAGCTTGCATTTTTTTATTTGATTTATTTGATTTGTCAATCACTTACAAAATAATAGGTATAAGTATAAACATGAGTAAGAATACAGAAAATAGGTACGATTAAAGGGGGACAATACGACAATAGGGAGGCATGATGGTGCACTTATGCACACCCCTTACAGACCTCTTAAGAATGGGGTGAGATCAATAGTGGATAGTTTGTGGTTAAAGGAGTGGGGGTTTGAGGATGTAACTACAGAATCAGGTAGTGCATTCCAGGCATTGACCACTGTGTTGCTGAAGTACTTTCTGCAATCAAATTTGAAGCGGTTAACATTGAGTTTGTATCTGTTGTGTGTTCTTGTATTGTTGCGGTTGAAGCTGAAGTAATCATTGACTGGTAGGACATTGTAGCAGATAATTTTGTGTACTACGCTTAAGTCCAACCATAAGCAGCGTCGTTCAAGATTGTCCAAGCCCAAAATCTCAAGCCTGGTGATATAGGGTATTCTGTTGCAAGCAGAGGAGTGTAGTACTCTTCTCGTGAAATACTTCTGGACTCACTCAATTGTATTAATGTCTGATAAACAGTGCGGATTCCAGACAGATAAGCTGTATTCGAGTATTGGTCTAGCGAAGGTTTTGTATGCCCTAGTTAGCAATTCAATATTTCCAGAAAAGCTTCTTAAGATGAGATTTACAACTCTTAATGCCTTTTTGGCAATGCTGTTACAGTGAGCTCTGGCGCTTAGGTCATTAGATATGAGTACTCCTAGGTCCTTGACAGAGTGAGGGTCATCAATGAGGTCATATCCGCCTAGTTTGTATTTGGTGTGCTGATTTTTTTAACCAATGTGTAGGACAGAGCATTTGTTGGTTGAGATTTGGAGTTGCCAATTGTTTGACCATTCAGACACATAATCAAGGCCACTTTGAAGAGCAGTAGCATTGTCTGTTGTCATCCGCGAAGAGGACACAGTTGCTTATAAGGTGATCGCAAAGGTCATTTATATCGAGAATAAAAAGAAATGAATTTGTGGCTTATAAAGTGCCTATTAAAAATGACATACATGACACTAACATCAAAAACATTTGGCAGTTTCACATCCTGAACAATCGAATGAGAATTTGCTTCCTAAAGTCGATTACAGCAATAAAGCTGCACTTAAAATATCCAGCAAGCTGGATTACTTAATGCTGGAAGTTCAGGGAGAAAGGCTTCACATATGTATTTCTTGGAAATATTTAATCTTTCAACCAAATATTTGTATCAGGAAACAAATAAGATAGGCACTATTTTATTAATTTTGATGCAGGATTTCTATTGACCCCCCACAGGTCTCAAAATCATTCTGCGTATAAGCATTGCATCAATTATGGGAAAATGCTAATCCATTGGGTTTGTCATTTCAATAATTGGTGTAACTCTTGCATTCAGAGTAGCTTTCTGTTTATCAGAGTTCTCATATCTCAATATGTGAGATTCTACATTTAATGTTAAAGTTACACAGATAGCATTTGACACTTTAATCCTACAAAATTGCACTATCTTCATCTTTAAAAATCTGAACATGATGTGATTCACTTTGCCAAAGTGAAAAATCTTTTAGTCAGAATATTCTGAGAAATAAAGATCTGTGTTTTCACACTTCTGTGCTGTAAAATAGTCTATAAATATGAGAATCTGAACAATTTTTATGTGATAATTTTAAAAGCTGAGAGAACTCTTCCCCATTAAACTCTTCCCCAAACAGAGGCCTGTGTTAATTTGTTTTACATTGCACAATGGAATTCTCTGTTAACTTCTCTAGGAGCAAGTTCTATGGGTTGAACGATTTCTGTAGGATTTTAAATCTTCTTTATTTTTCAGGTTTTGGAGTGGAATGTACAACCGTTTTGAAAAGGGACTGCATCCAAGGCAATCTGTTACAGAATATCTGATGGCCGTGAAAGAAGAAACACAACAGTTGGAGGAGGAGTTGGTGGTATTAGAAGAGGTATGTATAATTGGTTTTCTATAACTATAAAATTTAGTTTCACCCCATCTTTTGAGCATGTGATTGGCCATTGGCATATGCATCAATTCAAGTATATTTCAACATCAATGCAGTTGATCAGGGTATTATTTATAGATAGATGTAATTTTGGAAGGTTTTCTAGCTGAAGCATTGAGTAGAGGATTATATTTCTTCCACCCCATATTTGGCAATAAGAGTGCTCTACAGCAGTATTTCTCAACCTTGGCAATTTTAAGATATGTGGACCAACTGCCAGAATTCCCCAGTGAGGCTTGCTGGCTGAGGAATTCTAGAACTTGAAGTCCTCACATCTTAAAATTGCCAAGGTTGAGAAGCACTGCTCTACGGTATACTTTTGAAATAGATATTTATTTCTTTTACCATGATAACAGCTGCTAATGAGTGAATTTCTTAGTTCTGGTACAATTTCAAAATCAATTTTCTCCTGTGTTTTCTGTCCTATGATTTACAATCTGTGGAAGACTTCCTTAGTTAAAATGAGTAATAGGAATTCCAGAATTATACTCAATTTCTAATTAATTACTGATTTCTCAATCTTGTTAGTCTTTCGCATCACAGTAAAATTTGGGCCTCAATTGGGTGAGCTATTTTCAAAGCAATTATTTCTCATCTTTTCTTACAGGTCACCTCAAGCTTATTCTGGCTCTTTTCTGATAGGCAACTTACTTGTTGCTGGGATTCTTACCAATAAAACTTAGATCTAATTATGCTTTTCTTTTAACGAAACAGGTATTTAATAGAACATGCTGGAAGGAAGTTTTAGTATTTTGCAATAGAACCACTGAAATCAGCCCAACCTTAGTTAGATTTCTAGGTAATCACTATTCTGTCCATATGTAACCTCTTCCTTTTTTGCCCGTCTTAAGGTTGTTAAAATATCCTTATCTATCCCCTGAATATTCCTTAACTCAGAAGGATAGAGATGATTGCTATAATGCTTCTCTGTCAGGTATCTATACTAGCTGTCACGGATGATTCATTTGCATTTGATGATCGCCTAGGACTGAATGAGAATCAGTCCCCCTTTCTGTACATGCATACTTGGGAAGATTTATTTTCTAGATTTTTTTAAACAAAACCTTATAGTTTTTAATTGCCTACTGACACAGGGCTACATTCTTGTTCATCTGTTTTCTTTCTTGTTTCTCCTACTTGTTTTCATTATTATGCGATTTTGTTGAGTAGTGAGATGATAAATGGCACAAAATGCTCCATGAACATGGAAAAATGCCTAGAAACTTGCTTTCTTCCTGTTCTACAATCTCCCACCTACAATTTCTCCCCTAAAGAAATCAAGAATAACCTTCTATGTCAAAGAGACACTTTAGAAAACTGCAGGTATATAAATCTGCAATTTCCTAGGCTTGTTTGCTTTAGTTTGGATATATTTTAGCAGGCCAATGGATTCTTGTTTCTTGTCTTGCAGAGACTGGCAAAACTTACAAACGGGCAATTAAATAATGAGGCAAAGATAAAAAAGGAAAATGGAAGATCCAGTGGCTGCATGGCCAAATCACTCCAAGATTACACCTCCAATCTGAAATCATTCCCCTCTCGGAGTTCTTCACAGGGAGATGAAGACTCAGCACTCATCCTTACACAGGACAACCTGAAAAGTTCTGACCCCGATCTGTCAGCCAACAGCGATCAGGAATCTGGTGTGGAGGATATGAGTTGTCGGTCCCCAGGTGGAGGCGGCTTACCCAGTGAAGATAGCACTAGAGACCATGATTCAGATGAAGCTGTTTTTCTCACTCTCTGAGTGGTAACTTAATTAGTAGATTATGAAAGACTGCCTATCAAAACTTCCAAAGAAAGGGATTTATGCACTTAGAGTCCGTATATGACAAAGTAATAAGCTAGAACGTTTTTGCATTTATTATCTTCCGTTATTCATTTACAGAGCCATATAAGAGTGAACATTTTGTTTTACATAACTATTATCAATAGGATAACTATGTATACTAAGATCACTCCAAAAAAGTGACAAGAAATAATGTCTAAGCAATGCCAAAGTCAATCCAATCCAGACCAAACCAATATATAATGTTATCTTACCTTGACACCCAAAAAATACTCAAATGAAAAAAGCAAATAGATCTCCTGTTTGGTTTCGTTTTTACAATCTTGAAAAAAAATATGTTGAAGAAGATGGCCACGTATGGACTTAAAATATTGTCAGAGATACCTGCTTATTGAAGAACATTGCTGAAGAAATTTGGAAAACTAAGATTGAAATAACCAAATCAGATTTTCTAGATTAGTTCTGACTTGATTCGTAGTAATAACACTTTCTGTTGATGCCTCTGCAAATGCTGTTTCTCCCCATTTTTCTCTTCAAGTAGCTTGTCTTCAATGGAACAGTTCTTGGTGACTTGTATGGACACATTCATGTTTTCCTGACAGAATGGTCTGCCATTGTCTTCTCCCAGAATGTCCTCTCTTTTCTCCCCAATCTGGGATTATGGGGATCTCTCTTCCCTCCCAAATATTAATCAGGACTAATTCTATATTGCCTTTTCACATTTGGCTGATGTTAAATTATAGGACAGAAGGTGGGTCAGCAAGAGATTAGCTCTACCTATACTTAAATCATGCCCTTTACCCACTTTATAAGTTCAGGTTAACGTAGCGGGGACTGTATACTTTTCATCTTCTGAATTGTGGAATAGGATCGAGATCATGACAAAGGAGGGTGGACATGGGCACACTTATTCCTGTGTACATTTTTTGGAGTGGACTATTGGAAGATGGTGACTAGGGCATCTAGTAGATTAAAATACTTTATATGCCATTCAAAGAAAGTTAGGAAATTGTAAAGAAAAAAACTATCTTTCCAAATTCTCTTTCATAGTCATCCTCATCAGTTTACAATAAATCACTGGTCCTTTCACAAATATAGGTAGTCCTTGTTTATTGACCCCAACTGGGATGGGCAACCTGGTTAAGTGAAACAAATGAAAATCACATAACCACAATAACACTTACAATTTTACTCCAGTTTTCCTTTGCTTTGGCTACTTCCTTCAACTGACCTGGGCTTTTTTTCCTTTCTCTTTGAGGTTATCTTGGTATGAGGTAAATAAGTGAGAATAAGAGCAGACAGAGGCTGTGAAGGTCATAAACATGAGTATTGATAACTAAGTTGTTTTTTACCATTTCTGTAACCTATACCACCTATCAGGTTTTTGAAACATTGAAGAGTTTTCTCCAAACAAAATTAAATGTAATTGATTTACTCACCAGTTACATATTTAATGCCCTTCTTACTCCATCTCTCCCTCCCCCCAGCTAAAAGTTCTTATTTTGTTACGAGGTATCCTTAAACAGGGGAGTAGATACAAGAGTTTCAGGGGGCACATTAAAGCTAAAAGAGGAACCTGGGACCAAGCTGGCCAGTAAAAGGATGTGTTCTTTGTAGAAGACCTAATGAAAACTACGAGATTTGTATTATTAGATATGGTAATGGACATTAATGGTTTTAAAAGAAAATTAGATATATCCAGGGAAGATAAAGCTATCATGTCTACATGTTTTAATGACTTATCTCACCTCTCCAAAATGTGATAAACAGAGCAGACAGCAATTCAATTACACCTCACCAGACCGTTCAAATCAGGCAAATGTAAGAACTCTGCTCTTTTGGTGAAATAAAGCAGGATCCTTTGGTGCAATGCATCTTGCACTGAACTCCCACCATGAGATAGCTGTTTTGCATGTAATAATGTGGTTATTTTTTTTAAAAAAAGTTACATGTTTATACATTTATAACCAGATTTTAGTATCTTATCTTACTTTGACACAAAGTGTGATGTACAACAGGTAGTGCTGAACTAAAATACAAATGTACTCTTCTGTAAAATGGCTACTCTGTAAAGTATGAATGGATGAGGGTCAAATTTGCCATAAAAATCTACGTTATGGAAATACTGTAGAATATACCATATTGTGTCTTCTAGAAATTTTGTGTAGTGTATTTTACACCTGCAGCTATTCCTATTTAGCTCCTGGTTTACTTGGAGTCCAGAGATCTTTAATTTAATAGGTTGTCTTGTATAGTGCCAATGCTACATTATTATTACTAAAAGTATTGCAAAACTAAAGATATAGTATGCACTGTATACTGTTGGCATTAGGAGTATAATTTAGAACGTTATAAACAGTAATGTTCGGTTGTCCAATTGTCTTTTTTTTAGTGTTACACTCTAGAACCATGATGGAGAACCTATGACATGCATGCCGTAAGTGGCACACAAAGCCATTTCTGCCGGCATGCAAGAGGTCGCCCAGAACAGACCCACTGCACATGCGCGCACGCCTGCCAGCCGATTGTCGGGTATCTGCCATGCATGCACAGGGGGACACATACATGCAGGAGACATTGGTCATTGGTTTCAGCCAGCTACTTTAGGATTCTGGTTTCATATCATACTCATGTCCACTTCTGCTAATGGTTAGAAAATAAATCCACATTGACCTTATGTTTTTGTTTTCAGGAAGAAAGGTGACTTGTTGTCCTTACCCTTTAAAAAACACAATCCACGGTTCATTCATGCATGTTGATAGCCTCCTAACTTCCCACTGGTTTTTAGTGCCATTTGTCTTGGTAGTCCATCATCTAAATATACTGTTACAGGGAATGGAATGATTTCTCATCCACTGTTTTCACATCATAATAAATTGGCTCCCTTTCCTCTATGGGATCACCATTGTACAGAGGCCTCAAAATAATACGTTAGCAAAAGTGTCCTTTTGATTATATTTTTGTTACCATTGATAAACAAAATTAAATTGAACTTGACGACATATTCAAATCGCGAGTTTGTGCTTGCTTCCCTGATTTTCTCTTGGTTGATTCCATCATTACCTGTGTTGGAGTATTGTTATCAATACTATGATATGATGCAGAGTTTTTATAACTATATAATCAGCAATTAATATGAGAAAGGTAATTTCTAATTCCTCAGTTACCCCAATCCACGCAAAGCATTTCAGGATAGAGTCAATACAAGTACACACACAGCATGGCACTATTCCTGTATGGAAAGAAGGAAGGGGCTTGAAATGTAGGTAGTGCTACAGATAACACAGCTTTTTTCATTATTCGTATAAACCCATGCTGATTCAGGAAGACCTTGACAGCAACAAAGCAAGAGTATACAATTCACAACCCACTGATGAGCACACTTCACTTGGAAGAGGACTTGATATATTTTGAAACTCTACCCTTTGGTTGATTTCAAGCACCAGATTAAGAACACTGTCTTTATAAATCGCACTTGGTTGGGTTCATGTAATGCGGTTATCATAAACTATGATTCACTACACAGTAGCCGAGTTCACATTAAATATTAACAAACTATGTTGTGGCTTAACTTGAATTAAATTTTAAATTAAATTTCTAAGCAGTAATTTCCCTCAACATTTCTAAGTGATGGAGAAATGGTTCAAGCTTGACATTTACAATAAAAAAACCTGTATAGTCATAACTACACTGTTTCATTTACGTAAAAAGACTATGCAGCAATGGTAAGAGATATGTACAATTAAATAACTTTCAAACACATATTGCTACTGTGTTTCTCATATAAGGCCGGGTCTTTTTTTTTTTTTGAGCCCCGAAAAAATGGCTAGGCCGTCTTTTCGGGGGTGACTTAATCCCCCCCCCTTGCATCTTCGGGCGGGCGGGCAGCGACAGCTTGGATGTTGACCTCGGTGTTGGTGGGGCACTTCGTATCGGGGTCAACGCAGGCAGCACCATATCCGGGTGTGCAACAAAAGTACTTCCTAACGGCAAGCCCCCCCCACCATTCCCCCCCATTTCGCATGTTTTAATATAGGCCTTAATTTGGGAGGAGGGGCTTAATTTCATTTCATGCCTATAAAACATGCTGGGACTTCCTATTGGGGGAGGCTGTATTGTTGGAGAAACAGGGTAATTTAAATCTAAATACTGCCAGAGGGTGAGAAGCTGAGATCAGAAAACAAGGATTCTTGAAGAACTGATAACCTAAATGATACATATAAGCAATAGTATTTGTTCCACCAAATGTATTTATTTCCAGTTTAAGTCTCAAAAGTTATCAGTACGTCCCAAAGTATATAAAGTTGAACTCTACAGATACTTTTCCACATGCAGAATTGAATATTCTGCTTTAAAAATGCAAATATCAATACTGAACCTTTTTGGAGAGAAGCCCTATAAATTGTTCAAGAAAATGAAATTTATTTCTTAAGAAAGCAATGAAAGGAAAAAAAAAAACAAGTCATGAATGTATACTCCTAAGACTTAGTTTTCTGCAATATTGTCATTTATAGATTTTTGCCAATTATCTAAAGAAAAAAAAAAGAATTATCCTAAAAACATTTTGAGTTCTTATAAACATGCAAGACATAAAATTAAACCATTTTTATATGAAAATAAAATTCTTTGGTTGTATTTTTAGTGTAGGATAACTTCAATTTTACCTCTGTAGAAGAGTGATTTAGGACTGCAGTTATTTCACTACATTTTGCCAACATAATACTGAACAGGTGAATAAACTTGCTTATTTTATGTCTGATGCAGGGAATGAGAGATGAGGGTTTGAGTTAATTCTATTGGAACTAAATAATATAATTGTTGGTAATATATATATACTAGATAGTAATTCTTTGCTTTGTGGTTTCAAAAGTGCTTATATGAACACATGGACACACTCAGGCAAAAGAGTACAGAGATCAGAAATAAAGCAAATGTAGGAATACCAAGAACTTATACAATATACCCATTCATTTGCTTCAACACAAATAAGAAAATAAGATACAAGAATTGGAGAGAATTATGCCTATCTCCATTTGAGGCTTGAGGTAGGATACTTCCCAAAGCAATGAGTGGCAAAATTAAAAGAAAGGATTCTACATAAATCATATTGATTTTCTCGAAAAGTTTGAAGGGGTGTTTAAAACTTTTAGCTCTTCAGTTTCTTAGCTATTCAAGTCTGATTGCTATACTGTATAGTTAAGTACTTGAACTCTATTTAGTGACATGATACAAAAATGGGTGAAAACCTGATTTCAAGAAATTGAATTCTGGTGCATTCTGATAAAGCCAGATGAAAAAATCTACCTTATTTTACTTGTAACTTACTTTAACCAACCAACATTTCTATGCCTCTCAAACAAACCAGTCAGTATTTAATAAGAAAGTTATGGATTATGCTGTATAAAATTTAAAAATCTAGTCAAAATTACATGTTTAAATATTTAATCTATAAAGGTGGTAGAGACAGCAGCATGAAATCAAATATGATAAGGGTATCAATAACAAGAAATATTAGTGCAAAAATTGCAGTAGAAGTACATTTTGAATAAAATAAGAATAGAAAGACACTCTAATTTGTACAAAAAATCACCCCCAGCTCTATATACAGTTTTTTCTATAAATACAACCATAATGAAATGCGTATTTGCAAAATAATAGATCTATGAAAATGTGCTTTGCTGGATTTGTTGCCTTAAATTCTAATTAGCTGGAAAAAAATTCTGTGAACAGAAAAAAGTATCTACCATTAGTCAAAGTTCTCAATGCATACATACAAAACTTTACATTTTCTTAAATTCAGATTAATTTAAGGCAGAAATTTATACATATCCTTTAATCCCTGATTGCACGGATCTCTTTCATAAAAGGCTAAACTCAAAAGACAAAGTAAAACTGTATATATTATTGAAAGTTGCCATACAACATATTGTATCAGAGTCATAAAGTAATTATCTTTAATGATTCCCCCTGCCCGCTCCACCCCATTTGCAGTATTGCATGACATAATCCACATTGTCCAGGACTCTCCATGTCCATGTCCCAAAAGCCATTTTGGATGATTGTGGGAACTACTGGAGAATGAAATATGACTATGTTAGGTTTGGCTAATTCCATTTTTGGGGCGCATTTCTTCACAAGCAGTTGACATTATTTATAATTGTGATGTTTTTACATGAAGCAATGTAAAACTTTCCCAATTACATAATCAAAAGCTTAAGTTCTTGTATGTGTGGTTTTTGTTCTATGTAACACTTATCAGTGGACATACATACATAACTATACACTTATATAATACACATGATAGGAACGTGTCCTATTAGCCATTCAGAACTGTTGGACATTATTTACATGAATGTATCCTGATAAATTAATTTGTGGCAGGCAGGACAATTAGAATCTGCCTCATATTTGTAACGTACCTATAATGGAGCATGAAATTGGCCATGCATTGCTATTGCCTGTTGTAGTTTTTCTTCTTTGGCTCTTCTACAGTGGCAAATCTAAGGAAGAACAATTTAACATCATATATTTCAAATTTACTTTGGTGGAAAATAATGTTTCTAAAACAATCAAAATAAAGAAGTCAAACTTTGACTAAATTTGTGTTCATCTCAGCTAGTAAGCTTCATAAACAGGCTTTGAGTACAATAGTTGAAGATGATTCATATGCTTAGACTGCATTCTAAGGATACTTAAGCTAGAACAAGGAATTACTGATTTAAGGCTGAACAAATATTCTTCTAACAGTTTAAATAATTAGTTAATAGCACACATTACAATATACATTATTTAAAGGCTATCAATAATAATATCAAGG